GTTAAGATTCGATGATCCAAGCGATCGAAAGCTCTCAAAATCCAAGGTAGACTGCATTAGTTGCTGTCTGTCGTCAAATGTTTCGGTGCATTTGTTGCGTGCTAGCAGCAGATTCGTGGTACATGGTCGTTGCTGACCAAATCCATGTTGCTCCGGCGCAATGGTGCTGTAGCTGACTAGCCAATCCGTCAGTATGCCTGTGATGATCGTTTCCATAACCTTGGCGAGCAGAGGAGGTGTTGCCGGGCGGTGAATGCCAAGAGCAAATCGACGTCCTTCCTTGGGAACTGGGGACATCTTAAGCCGTTTCTACTTTGCCGTAACTGTTTTCGTCTAGATAACGCTTAAGGAATCCAGCTAGTGCTTCGGCTAGGTGCATGGCTGCTATCTGTAGTGTTTTAGGGTGAACGTTACGCACTCCAGGATTGCTCTGTGTATGCAAGCTCTTGCACCTATGCCTCTGCTGTAAATGGGACGCTGGATAAAACTGATGGGCATAAGCAGTACGGCGGTACACAGTACTGAAGCTTCGTTGCCGCCACCAGTCTCGAGTGGGCTAAGTATACCATGACGGTCCCCCGGTCCCCTTCACAGGATCGAACCCGCGACCTCGGACTACAAGCAATCTTATGATCCTATAGGCAGCGGACCGGCTAAACTGATGGTAGAATGACAGAAACAGGCGGAGCGTTCATGGGTTGTACTCTTTGGATAGTAATTGAATACTGGGCATGAAAGGTTTTAGCCACCTCCTTTCGCTGTGTAAGTATAGCCACCAACTGTAGTGAGTCCTGGGATTTCGCGCCGCACAGTACGATTATATTGACGTGTTTGTAAAGCAATTGCCGAACAGAATCATTTCGCTAGCTTCTTCTGGTGTGTTGCTTTGTCTTCACAAACCAACTGCACATGATAGCTGCGCTGAGCTACGTACGCTGTCCCATTTTCTGCGCTGGGATTGTTTATGTGAACACGCCATGTCTGGTCCGTCAAAGTCATAACTTTTCTCGTCCGGTTTAACAGATAAGATTTCGGTTTGAAGGGGCGGTGGATGGCTTTGGCTCTGATGCTTCTGTGACTAGTAACGTGAAGGTTTTCAAGAATGTGTCACTGGATACGTCTGGGGTGCATTCAGTCATAAATGCCTAACTAGCGTTTTCAACGAATGCACACAGTACATGATAATAAGTACTGGATTGTAGCCTTTCGGGATCTGTATCCGGATATTCGGCGCATCAAATTCAATCGAACGGTAGTGTCACGTAATCGCTTTTACCCAATGGAATGCATACAGTTGACCTATCAACCAGGAGCTGCTCGCTGGTGACCACTAGATCTAACCTTAATGGTCTTTTCGCTGTCCTGCACCTGCTATGAGCAGTGAGGTGGTTGTGCAGCGGTATGCTGACGATTAGCTCTTACAAGTAGGTCATGAACTGTTTCCCTCGGTTGCTGGAGTTTCCAAAGCATGGGTGTTGAAATCACCAGCAATGATTTATCTCAATACGAAATGCAGCTATTATTCTCTCCGTATCTATCTCTGTAGCGGAGTTAGGCAGTCTGCAAACGGCGGATGCAAGGTTTATGTCGTCGTCTAGACACGTTTTGCACCAAAAGAGATTAGCGATAAACGTTTAGGGACGATTCATAAGCTCATTGCGAAGGTTTGTTTTGTAATATCCACTACTCCTCCCCTACCCGTTCTGTCGTTGCCGTGAAGTGACATACTGTGTTGAGCGACATAAAGGTAGGTGCTCACTATGATATGCCGAGGATCTGATGGAGTTTCACAAAGTTACTAATAAGGCGTTTTTTGTTAGTATATGAACAGGTCAGTTTCTCAGTAGCCAAACTGCGTTATTGGACGCCGAACGAAGAGTGGAGATTATGCCGACCCTTGAGGGGTCGGCCAAAAGCTCTCTTTTGAGGAATCGCTAAACTTGAAGTTTGGTTGGTTTACACCTATGCCTTCGGTTGTCATAGCCTTTATGGTCTCCAGTGCTTAGTCTTATTCCGTCAGACGCTGAGGTTGCCATTTAATCAACCTCTTCAAAGAATCATATGAAGGTAAAATCCACCAAATTGATTGTCACTAAGGTATCGTTAGCCAACGGTGGAAACGCACCGGCTGTATTTAACAGAATTTCTGTAAGCAGCCTCTTTCGGAATTTAGACCAGTTTTCCAACTATAAGCGATGGCATTGGCTCAGACCGAACCATTGTCTTCACTAACCTGAGACCGTTCCTCTTATAGTTGGGTGATACTGGAATGTCTCTCAAGCGCTTTGCCACGATAGTTTCGAGGGTGTGCTGCTGGCAGAGTTAACTCCATTGATCCTAGTAGAGTCCTTCCGCTTCCTCACAGGAAGACGCTTGCGTACCTGGAACTCCATAAACAATACTTGTCCGTTTTGGTCAGATTTACGAAATTCCTCAAGGATGGTATTCTCTTTCCTACTTTCGTTCCAAAGGGTGTCTGTAGGTATGCGCGCCTCACGTGCCGAGTTTGGGAGCAGAGTCGACATCTGTGTAATCAGCGGAACCCAGTGTCACCCGGACAAGTCGCGGATCACAGCAAATCGGGTAAGGTGCCACCAGCGTAGGTGTCGTAGGCTTAACGGAAGTGCAACTTGCACTACAAACGGAATGCTACTGATTACTGTCGTCCATCTGCTTCCTTTGTATGGTACTAGACTGCGATTATAGAAAATGTATGCGCACAACAGTCAAAGGACCGCGCCTCTCTATTTTGGTTGCTGATTTATCGGTGTTAATTAATACCGTTTTAAATAAGGTTAGTTGTGGAAGCCAGAATCGGGGGTGTTCTCTACGTCGTTTGCAAGGAGGCAACTGTTTCATGCGATGCTCGACTTTTTATATGGTGGACGAACTCGGCTTCGACGCTGCCATCATCGCCAACGACTTGATGTGGGCTGCCTGATTGAGATGAGTGGGAACAGTGGCTGTCGATGCTTGTCCACTTATGGAAGTATGGTAAGCCAGAGGAGTTGGAGACACACGCTGTAGTGCGTTTGGAGGGTCTGATCCTCTTCTTTAGCCTAGAAGCGGAGCTCGAGTTGGTGGATTGAGGTTTTAGCGTGGCCATATTCACCTCCGTGGCTGAGATTATGGCGTTCACAAAATACACAATCGTCTCAGTCCTCCTCTTGTGATTCTCCATGAGCACAAATAAAAGTTTGACTACTGGAATGACTTAACATGTTGGAGGAAAGCAACACACGTTGGCTAGTTTGTTTAGCTGCCTCACTTCTTAGACGCACTTCTCTGAAGAGCATACGCAGCTTTGCAGTGCGTTTTGAAGGTTGATTGTGCCTTTCTGTTTACTGCAGTTTGTGTGGGTCACTGCAAATTGCGGAGTCAACAATGAGGCAAAGTTAACTGTCGGTCACATGCTGTTCGTCTACTCGTGTGCCCACTGCTGGTGAGACTGATTGAGAGAGCCGCATCGCATTCCCGGAACATCTCACATTTTAGGAATGACTTCAGTAACGTATCCGCAAATATTAAGTGAGTACCACGTGGGGATAACGAGGTCCGTTCTTTAGAAAAACAAGTAATCTTATACCAGCTTGTGTACGCGATACCTATGACGGGTTTCGCTTACAGAGAGGGGCTTTGTTTTACCCATGACTACCAAACTGGACTTTAAACTGGTGCGATGTTTTACGGGCTTAGATGCTTCGTTGATCTCTGTTCTGTGGGGATTTTTACACTTGCAGAACCTCTCATACATTATTAGCCAATTTTTAGATACCAGAATTACTCAGTCTTCAGTCCCTCTAGCTTGGTTTTGGTGTGATCGTGGCTCCTGTAGCCCAGCTCAAAAACAATAAGCCAGCAAGTACCCATTTGGTACTCGCGCTTGTCACCTAAGCTTTTCATGGACGAATTCCCTGCGAAGCGGTTGAATCAAATATAGAAATAAGCGTGCGAACCCACCGCACGTTGTACCATCCTTCCGTTTACGTAAGAACTGTTTGGGTGAAACTAACCCTCATTTCATTGCCGCTGTCGTTAGGTGTAATAATTTGTCCGAAACATGTGATGGACAGGTTTTTCTATAAATTTTGTTGCGTGATTATCTCATTTGAAACATAGGATGCAATAGGATGCTGTCCATGGGCAATCCGGCGAACAGTGAGAGGTATTTGCGACTGGTTCAATCACTAGGCTGTTTCCGAGCAAATCAACTGCCCATCCACTTTGCAGACACGTGGAAATTTGTTTATGCTGGTGACGCAGATGTATCACCTTGCACTTAGTTATGTTCAAATGAAGCATGTTCCTCTTTGAGCACTCGTAAATGTGATCCAGGTCATGTTAGAGCAGATCGTGATCTGGCTTGTTACTAATCTCCCGCCATTTCTTGACGTCATCGGCGAAAAGCAGGAAATCTGAGGAGATAACTGATGCCAGGTCGTTGATAAACACCAGGAATAAGCGCGGTTCCAACACTGAGCCTTGTGGAACACCACATTCCACCTCAATTGGGTTAGAGAGTGATCCCCTGACAAGTACTTGAAGCTTCCGTTGGTGAAGGAAGCCGCCAATTCAACCAAGTACAGGATCTCCGATTCCGTATCTCTGTAGCCTTTGAAGTAGGATGTGGTGATCAAGGCGGTCGAAAGCTTTGGAGAAATCCAGATAGATGACGTCAACTCCGACCCCATCATCGGCCATTTCCGTCCAACTACCTCGTGCAATCAGTAGGTTGGTGGTGCACGACCAGTGTTGACGGAAGCCATGCTGTTGCGGTACCAACATGTTGCATTTTTCCGGGTAGATAGATCACACATGCATTGCCCCTCAATTCGGAAGCTTGCATTAGTAATACTGATAGCATCACTAAAAGAAATTCAAAAGACGAATTGTGCAGCAATAATCTTTTAATTGGCTTCTTCATTCAGCTGTACAATCAAACTCAGATAATATGCTGATTTCGATATCACACTTTCATTGAGTTTTCATTTCCTTTCTAGTGTTGAAATTGGTCCTGGTCAACTGGCTAGTGCGAGTACAACGTAAGTTCGCCTGCTGTGGGGCCACTTCTCATTTGAACTGGTTATCACTAGATATACACACTACGCCTGCCGTCAATGAACTGAACCAAACCGAATATGATCCCTGGATTCAACTTGATGTTGGTGGGTTTTTTCCAACTAGTTGTTGTGATCGAAATGATACAGTAACCTGTGAATCCGCCTTGCTCACGCCCAGTTCCGAAGTGACTATCTACCATCTCCGCTATGATGCACCGGTCTATCGCCGAGACTGCAACACAGCCGCTTATGATTATCAATACACGGAATTAGGGGGTCTCATCGGACTATTTGCCGCTGTCGACGTCTGCTTGCATTTGCTTCAAGTCTGCACACAGTTATACAGCTACCATAAAACGGCTCCGCGATATCCATGCGTGAAGTGGGCGAACAAACTGCCTCCGCTTCAAAGCAAACTAACTCCACCAAAATTTGGCTCACGACGTGAAAGTACCGGCTCGATAATACATCGCACGGGATCTATCACACATGCTGATGGTTCTCGAACACACACAGACGGCTCGGTTACTTTTCCTGATGGCAAGACCTTACCGAAGCCTGAAAAATTGGTGCACCGCTCCGGTTCGATAACCCTGCGTTCTGGATCACGCCTTCATCGTACTGGCTCGCGAACTCACTTGGATGGGAGCCGTACACACAGAACAGGTTCCATCACGTACGAGGATGGATCTAGGCGGCATAGGGACCAAATGATTACACCTGGACCTGGGGACAGTCGTGAAGGATGCATGGTTGGTGCGAATGCACAAATGTTTTTTGGTTCTACTGGTTACATAAACACTGAACGGCTCATACAGGCATGCCAAGGGATTCATTTGTTCGCACAACCCAGCCTAGTTCAGCAAATGGAGTTAGATGATAAAGCAGAATGGTTGGAGCGCAATTTGAAAATCGGTTGGATTGTCCATGGAGGTGGTAAGCAACACTGCACGATCGTTCCTTTAATTTCTCTTAAGTCGGCTAGAGTGGACGGGCCGATACAAACCAGCGAATTACGTCGCTTCCTGCGGTTGCAACTGCCTATTTTGGAGGCAATTATATACACGGATGGCAATGCTATTTTGGAAAATGAAGCGAATGCGTACTACCGAAGCTTCGGTGTCTGTTTCATTAGGTCCATATTATTTCTACTCTTCGGCTACGTTGCCGCATGCCTTATATTTCCGCTATTTTTACCCACAAATCTGGACTCACCAGTGTTATACTCCGCTCCGGGTTGGGTATATGATAGTATGCAAAGGCATTCAAATGATCAACAAGTGGCAGAGGATGCACAGGCTATACACCAGGAGGTAACAAAGCAGGCCGGATTGCTGCTGTACACTTGCATTATGGGAGGCATGCTGATCTCCCGCCGCACTCGCTGCCTTGTGGTGCTTCTCATTCCGATTTTTAGTCTTTGTTGTGGTCACATCTATTTGTGCAATCAGATGTTGCAAGCCACGTTGCTGGGTCCTGTGTCGAATGCGGAACGAAATTTCGTTTCAACTGGAGCAACGCTGGATTGTTTGGCCGAGATGACTTATAATGTTAGCCGTGATATCGACCGTGCCACTCGTGTTTACCCGTTGGACGACGCCATAACAGAGGAAGCTGCAGACGTGATTCGACCAGAGGATCCAGAGTTTCGCAATGTCACCCCTGGATTAGTTGAAATGAGCACACAGTTGGCTGAGAATGTGACGGAGAAATTGTTGGAACTTTACAACATGACCTCACCGGTTTTGTTAATCGTAAGTATGAATCTTGCTCTGCTTTTCCGATGATGTAATTTGGTGTAATTTGGTTCAAAGACTTAAACGAGATGTGAGGGAGCCATTTTCCAGAAGACAGTCGAAAACGACTTCAACTTCCCAAACTATCTTTAGTTCAGGTTTACTGATGGTCCTGTTAATAAATAAAGCTTTCAAAATACGATAATAGACGGTACCACTTTGTGTACCTACAATGTAGCAAGAATGAACTGAGATCCTAGCAAAATCCATCTAATGCCATTCTAGTACACATTCTAACCAAATACCGACTTAATGAAGTCCAGTGAAGCACCGAACCTTATGGTATACTGAGATAGCATTATATTTTACGGTATTTAATGAGTGAACTTTTGTTTTTGGGTTAATCATCAAATAAGTAACAAGGAAGATTAAAGGACTCATATAACTCGAGTACTGGATTATTGGCGCATGATAAGTCAGAAAAGAGATAGGCTGAAAAGTAGTGGAAACAGTGATCAAATCGTATATAGAATCGTCTTAATCAAATAGTTGGTGATGCAAACATCGGAAATGACAAACAAAAATTAACTTTCGGGAAAAACAAAAGATGTCCCGTTTTCCCAAAAATTACTGATCTCTTTTATCTCTATAGTCTTTTCCAATGGTTCCGTTTCTACTACTTGCTGCTGCTGAAATGCAAATATATGTGCGCAAATCGGTCATTCTCCCACACACCTACTGTGTAATTTGCATGCTTTTTTCTTTAATATTCGTTCGTATTCATATGGCGTCTCTTTTTGAGATGAATGTTGCATACCCCATGCGTCTTCACAGCAGTTGGACCACAGACCTAACTTAAACGCTACCACGATACTAACCGTTTGCAAACCATGGCACGCAGTTTTGTTTATTGGCTTGGAATGCATTCAGACACTGAACAATTGCCAAAATGTGAATCCTGTCCACTGGCGGCGAAGACCCTTCCCAAGTGCACCCGGCAACCTTGTGTCAAACTGGAAAGAAAAGCATGGCAATTGTCACGTGGAGGAAAATCGGACAGACAAGCTCCGTCATTTCAACATTGGTGATATGGTGCAGGCGCGAGATTTGTGGGAACTGGGGAGGTAGTCAACAGGAAGGGTAATCAGCAAAAATAATTGAGTCATTTACGAGTTAATGGTAGGAAACGAAAACTGGGTTGGACACCCAATCAGTTGAGGCCGAATAACAGCAAGCCTCAAGGTCCACTAAAATCGTAATTCCTACCGTTTAACTTCCTGTTGGACACATTTGGCTTGGTACACGAAGCTGAGTGGCTACGTGGATCACAAAAGCAGCTGCAAATAAAAATGCCGCACAGTGCAGTCCGACCCGAACGCGGAGACGACCACAAGCTGACCCCAAGGTGAAAAGCTATGAAGAAAGTCAAGTTCGAACGGTATGCAAGCAGACTCAAATTGAATGGGGAGGTATTAGGCGGCCGCAACAAAATAGCCCTGTGACATGTTTTCGGGACGTCAAATGGGCATGCAGTAAGTCAAACAGAAAGCCGATGAAACCAGTCCATCATCATGACACGGGTTGCTACGCACCTGGCGTGACATGACTACAGCTGGTCACAGTGGAGATCGATAGCAGGTTTAAAGCTATCTAGACAAGTAACGGGAGTCAGCCCAGAAGCGTGCAACAGGAGATGATGGTATGTGACTTATGAAATTAACCGTGTTCTGTTCTTAGTACACTTCAGTCTGGCAGGTCTCGGTTTTCTGATTATTTTCCGGCTGGGTTTGCGGCGCCGACAGCAGAGGCAAGGACAGCGTTACAACACTCGGATAAAACGTATACCACATTATTTGATTTGTTCAGTATTGTTATTCTGCAGCATATTTCTTGACAATTTTGAGTGTTTGTTTTCCTTCAAATTCTATGTCGCCTGTTTGATATCCCCGGTGTGGTTGCGCTTAGATAGGCTGCGGCCAGGTTAACACAATCAGAACTGTGCAAGCAGATGACGGTTTTGCAAACCCTTCTGCTGTACTGGTCTAGCTATCGTTGTGGGCTCTGTTCACCTCGTTCACGAGCGGTCAGTCAGTTGACGGATGGAAGAACCGTCGTGTTTCGTGTGCAAATAAGCTTGTGTTCCAGTGTACGACTATCACCATCCAATGGCTAGCTGATCTACGAAAAATTCAGCTTGTTTGAAATTGACAAAACCTAGCCGAGTTTTCATAGCCTATTAATATGTTTGGACAAGTTATATTTACCAATGCACCGGACAAAATATTTCCAAAGGAAATTACTTCACTAAATAATCTGAAAATTAACTACTGCGCATGTTAAAGCTGTGTGGACGACCTCTCCGTTGAGGAAAAGTACCTCGGATCCACATGTTTCCAGGTCTTATTTCTCCCGGTTTACACTAGATAAGAGGTGTTTGGATATATATATATATATATATATATATATATATATATATATATCAGCAGTCTATAAGATATAGAGCCGGCAAAAACCTCGAAACGAAAGTCACAAATAGAGAGACCACAAAAGAAAAGAATGAAAGTTACAAATAGGGTTTTTTATATCTTGTCTTTTCTGTTTTGTTTCTTTTCACACGCCGTTTTTTCTTTTTTGTCCGTTTAATGTTTGCAGTGTAGATCAAGCAAATCCAGACAAACATTTGTACACATTTTTCCTTGAGCCCGGTTCTATGCCATCTCCGAAAGTGTTTCCAGTCAGCTGTGTTCTTCATGTTTGATCCCCCAGCCCGGAAGACGCATGGGACCTACGACAACGGAACTGGAAGTCAGCGTTTTAATCGTTTGTCGTCACGTGATAGGCTGACCCCCGAGCAGTTTCTTCCAGCGTCGTCCTTTGCGCGCGAAGGAAACGCGTCGGGGCACCCGTTCGTAAGGCATGCGTAAAACGTGCCCCAGCAGTCTCAGATGGTGCAACGGTACCAGTCTGTCAAGTGGAAGTCCCATGTTTTCCAAGACGCTCCGTCTAAAACCATCGTTGCCCACACGGTTCATCCATCACACTGGAGCTATTCTCCGCAGAGATCCATTGTCAAATGCCGAACTCCGACGCAAATCATTCGCACGAATTGGCCAGGACTCACTCCCACACAGCAGCACCGCGCGAACACAGGCATTGTAGACCCTGCCCTTTACCAATAGTGAAACGTCAAGGCGTCGCCTCAGATTCATCAAGTTGGCGAATGCCGAACGGGCTTTGGCAATACGGAGAGAAATCTCATTTCCAATACTACCATCAGCAGAGACACAGCTACCCAGGTAAACAAAGTTGTCCACTTGTTCAAGCTGCGTACCTTGAAGAGTGAGCACAGGAGCAGGTGGATGCCAATCCAGGGGAAAGGGTCACTCCATATTTTGATGCTTCAATCACCTAGCGGTTTAGAACGGCTTGTGTGCTCTGTGCGTGATCACCAAGCAGGGCAATATCACCAGCATAATCTAAATCGGTCAAGCTTTTACCAAGAAGAACCTTGAAAGCCCTCGAGAGCGTTTAAAAGGACGTGCCCGATAGCAAAATTGAAGAGAAACGGGAACATGGGGCAACCTTGTCGTACAACGCCAGTGACAGTAAAAGGTGAAGAGAGCTTGCCATAAGCCCTCACTTTCCTGAGACATTGCAATATAATGCCCGTAGGATGGCGACATACCTTTCGAGTACTCCATTCCTTTGTAAGCAACGCCATAAAGCTGGCCGATCGACGGAGTCGAAAGCGGCTCGGACGTCCAGCAAAGCGACAATCGTGGGTTGGCTGTACAGATGGCGCGTTTCAAGGAGTTGGCGGAGCGTAAAATGTGGTCTATACACCTACGACCGGGTCGGAAATCAGCCTGTTGTTCACGGGAGCGCAATTCTGGAAGCAGGGTTAGTCTGCGGAGTAGAATGGATATTAACAGTTTGGAGGAAACGGACATTAGACTGATTCCTCGGTGGCTAGCGCATTGGGTACGGGCATCTTTCTTGTAGGTCGGGAAGATAATTGACTCGCTCCAAGCGGATGGAACTGTTTCTTCACACCAGATCTTAGAGAGCAGAGCTGTTTGCTGGTCGACAGTTACTTCGCCCTCGAACTTGAACAGCTCTGGAGGAAGTCCGTCTTGGACAGCAGACTTGAATTGCTACAAGTGTCGGAGCTCCAGGCAAACCTCAGCTTCATTGGGTGCTTCCAATGAGACGTTCCAAGGCGCGCAACTATGTATACTCAGTAGACTCGCCGGCGGAGGAGGCCAGTTAAATTGAGTGCGGAAGTGTTCAGCTCAGCGGTCCATACGCCTGTGTAAGTTGCTTATCGGCGTTCCGTCAACTTCGTAAATGACCTCATTGACACCAGACCTTTTGTGACTAGTGGCCCGAGTGACCTGGAAGAGCTTGCTGAAGTTTCCAGAGAGGGCTGGCATTTCCATCTCTGAGGCGCGCTGGGACCACGAAGTTTTACAATCCGCACGAAGGCTTTGCTTAACTTGTTGGCTGTGAATGTAACGCAACGCACTGCTATTTGAATCGGCTGGGATAGCTCTATGACGATCAAATAATTCCAGTGAGTGTGTGGAAATCCAGCCCTTCATCTGGCGCCTTGTGATTCCGCAGATTGAATGACTGGATATTAGCATCGCTTCAATCAGGAAACTCCAATGTGCTTCGATGTCTTGAGGTGGAGCACCAAGGAATGCATGCGATAAGGAAGCTTGATAATTTGATCGAGTAGTGAGGTCTGCTAACTTGTTGGCTTTGAGCCTATGGAGCTTTTGTTTTTAAGAGCCGCCAAAGCGCATGCAGCTATCCGCGCAGTTCAAAGCATAACCTGAATCGAGATACATAGACCAACTCGATCCAAAACCACGGACGCTGCCTCGTCATCTAGAACTGATTGCAATATTTGTGACCACGCTTGCGTTGGTGAAGGAGGACGCCAGGTGGCAGCGCATCTTCTGGTATGCTTAACGTTCGTACTTGCGAGAAACAGACGGTGGTCATCGCATAAC